GGCTCACAACAACCTCTGCCTCCTAGGCTCAAGGGATCCTCTCACCTCAGCCTCCCAAGTAGATGGGACCACAGGCATGCGCCACCATGCCCAGCTGATTTTTCTGTATGTTTGGTACAGAAAAAAAGGAGTTTTACCATGTTGCCCAGGTTGGTCTCCAACTCCTAGACTCATGCAATCAGGCCACCTCAGCCTCCCAAAGTGCTGGAATTACAGGCATGAGCCACCATGCCTGGCAAAGTATCCTTTTCTGACTCCCCTGTAACTTGACCTCTCATTCCTCTAAACCACATTACTAAAAGCTCACATCTTTTGATGGTTCTTATATTCTGCCTTATATGATGGCATTCTTTCCTTTCTCCCTAGTGGTAGATGGTGAGCCTCTTGAAGGCAGGGACAGTGCATTACATATTAGAGATATTCAGTATCTGTTGAACTGTGAAGAAAATCATATTTGTACTTTATAGAAAAAAAGCGTGAAGGCAGGTGAAGTCATTCTTGGCTCAAGCCTTCAAAAAAGAAGTAGGCCTCCAGTTCACTCAAAATACTGTTACTCACCCTTTTAACAAGCAATCAACAGCCAATAAATTAGTCAGTGAATGTAATTCAAAGCTATCATATACAGAAGTGTGAGTCATGCCAGCAGCTGGGCAGTTCTCTTCTGCTTCTAGGGAAGAGAACATTCATCTAGAAAGACTACAAAACAGTCACAAGAATGGACAAGCAAACCACAGTGTCAGGTGTCACAGCTGGACAAAAGGCCCAGGCTTGGTCTCTAAGCTTCGCAGGTGCCTCGTTTCTATGACAGACAGAGGCGGGAGAACAAGGCTGTTAGGGCCTGTGTTCTGAAGCGGCAAGAAGCCAGCCACACCAAGCCAGCCTTTGAGGGGCTCCAAGCACATTCCCCATGAGGGCTGAGGATGAGGAAGGGGGCATTCTCATGTGTACAGTATGGATGTACAGTATGTTTTCAATATGTTGCTGGTAAAAGCAGAAAAGTGCTAATATGCATATTAGGTAATAGACAACACTTAGGGGACTTTTATTCATGGTTGGTTTTTATTTTAGAGAAAAATTCCGAAGATTGTTCACATTCTAAATTATAAATAATTTTGCTTAGAAAATTATTTGTTATACTCTACACTGAATTGTAAGTGTTCAAAAAAGGAATGAAGTTTATCTCATTTTTTCTGAAGTGGGAGAAAGAATCCAGTTTAAAAAACAATTTGGATTCAGTTAAAAAAAAGTTTCTGGGATTTAATATATTTGGGCATTTTGAAATATTAAAAAATGACTTTCATCGCTAGTATAGAATTTCAAAGAGAGGCTTAGGAATATTTACTAAAATAGATTTGGGCCTTTGAATTTTATTGGAAACACAATATTTACAGAAATAATACACAAAAACATGCAAAGTCCTGTTTCTAGGCACTGCTCCAGTTGTGCCAGAGGAAAGAACACGGGACGTAAGTGGCTATGCAAGGCAGGAAAGGAGGAAAGAAGAGCCAGGACGGGAACTGCGGAGTGCAAGGAGGGCGCAGAGCTGCGAGTTTCCCATGGAAATCAGTGTGGCTGAACTTTTCAAAGGAGATAAAGGCTTTGGCATCCTGGAAGCTCCTAGCAGAAGTAAAGGATGCAGATAAGGCAATGTGTGATATTTATGTTTTCCAAAAATCAACGGAGCCTATCAACGTTAAATAGCAAATGAAAACATTCAAATGTTGACAACAAGGTAATGAAGAAAATACCACAGCAGTGAAAACAGCTAATCCTACTTAGGATTCTAATCAACAGGCTAATACAAGACTTTTTGTAGTCAATTATGTCACTCAATTCTAATCCCAATCCTGAGAGATTGGTATTGTTAGAACTGTTTGAAGGTTTAGGCAAATGAGGGTTAGAGAGAATAAATAACTGGTCAAAGATCTTACATCGACTGATGGCATCAAGGTTTGAACCCTGGCTGATTTCATTCACACATTCATTATCAACAGATATTTACCAACTGGGTACTACTGAGTTCCTACTTGTCAGTTACTAGGTATACAAACAGGCATAGTTTTTGCTCTTAAGAACTTAACATCTAACGAGAAAGACAGCCAATAAACAACTTAATAAACCAATACCTAATCACAAAATTTGATAGATACTATGAACAATATTGTTAAGGAGAAGTAACAGAGAATCAAGTGGGGCCTTAGCAAATTAGATAGCATGGTTAGAGAAGTGCAAGTGAGGTCTAAAGGGTGGGAAGGAGCCGGCCAGTCATGAGACGAAGGGAACAAGCATTTGTGGAGAAGGGAAGAGCATATGCAGAGGACTTGAGACAGGCCAGCACAGCTGGACTAGGTAGGCAAGAGGTACAGTAGGTCTGCAAGGTAGGTAAGGGCCACAGCAAGGGGGGCTCCTGCACATTAGGAGTTTAGGTTTTAAGAGCAATGGGAAGGCACAGAATGGTTTTAAGATTTCAGTTTTTAAAAGACGACATTGATTTATCTGTCTGAATAATAGGCAGTAAGAGGCAAGGGCAGAAATGGAAAGTCCAGTAAGGAGACTTCTGCAGGATTCCAGGAGACAATGGTTGCATGGCCTCAGAGGAGAGGAAAGCGGCAGACCTCAGAAGTGGTCTGGGCTACATTTTGCTGACAGAACCAAGAGGCCTTGCTGACGGACTGGATGTGAGGGGTGAAGTGGAGGGAGGCACAGAGGATGTCTCTAAATCCTGTGCACGGCTTTAAGCCTTGCACATCATTTAATTTCCTTAACCTATTTCTTATATTAAAAAGTTAGCTATATTTATATTGGTGTTTTAAGTGACATATTTTTAAATAAACAGTTCATGTGCTAAAATCTGTTTCCACATTGCTAAGCTCACCCTCTTGATTGTAACATCTGCACTGAGGTACACTACCCAGAGAGAGATGTGCCTCAGGTGTGCAGTAATGGGAACGAAGGGTGTTCACACCAAATCACCTAGGAGTGACTCACAGTTTTGCCATTCTTCTGGGTAAATGCAAAGAAGTCACAACTCTGAGCCTCAGATGACTTGACTTTATACATATGGCTAAGAACTCTCTCACAGTTTGGTTATGAGAATAGGATAACTTATACTAAGTCCCGGCCTGCAGCAGATGTCAATAAATGTTAGACTCCCTTCCCTTCTCCCCCATTACAGTGATGAGAATGCCACCAGTCATTTCTCAAAGCACCTCTGTAACAGAGATGAGAGATCTGAGTGCTACACTGAAGATAACTGAGACACACTTTAGATGAGGGACTGCAGATCCTGTTAGGGGTCCTAAAGGGTACTCACATAGCTGCTCTAACTCTTTAGCAACCATCCTCATCTCCTAAGATTGCCAGATAAAACACAGGACACCCAGTTAAAATTGGGTTTCGGGTAGCTGGGCGTGGTAGCTCATGCCTGTAATCCCAGCACTTTGGGAGTCCAAGGTGGGCAGATCACGAGGTCAGGAGTTCCAGACCAGCCTGACAAACATGGTGAAACCCTGTCTCTACTAAAAATATAAAAATTAGCCAGGGGTGATGGCATGCACCTGTAATCCCAGCTACTCAGGAGGCTGAGGCAAGAGAACTGCTTGAACCCGGGAGGCAGAGGTTGCAGTGAGCAAAAATCATGCCACTGTACTGCAGCCTGGGCAACAGACTGAGACTCTGTCTCAAAAAAACAAATTGGATTTCAGGGAAATCCAATTTCAAAAAAATTTTAAGTATATCCCATGCAATATTTGGAACATACACGAATTTTTTTCACCATTTATCTGAAATTCAAATTTAATTGGGCATCTTGTATTTTTATTTGCTAAATCTGGCAATGCTATCTATGACTAGGCAAGTCTCTACTGGGAATAAATTACTCCAAGATTCTTCCTTCACAGCCCTGTGAGATGCTCTTACTCTTCTCTGTCTAAGAGGTTGTATCTGTCACCATCACAGTGCTGCATTTCCACTTCTACTCTTCATAGTTCACTCATCTCTTCTCATTTTTACATTTACTCAATCTCCCGTAAATGTACGGGAATTCTCAAAATCTACTGAATTTACTTAGTGGTCATAAAGAATGCTGGTGAAGAGGTGTATGTGTATGTGTGTGTGTGTGTATACATGCACACGTGTAGGTAAATAGGTATGGGGGTGTGAGCACCTGCTGTATTAACCTTTTAAAAATGAAGATTATGCTAACAATACCTTATCACGAATACATGTTGAATGTTTTCTAGTAGCAGTAAATTAAATTTGCAACTACATTAATGAAAGCTATGTAGATCCTTCAGTGGTAGAACCAGTTATTGAATAAACAGAAAGAGAAAAGTTTTGAGTTCATTCAATAATCACTATCCATCAAAAGTTAAGAGCTGAAAATCTTTCATTTTAAAATCATACTATGTGAAAAGAACTGGAAATCTAGGCCACAGTTTTATCTATCTGAGGGTTCCTTTTGCATATAGTCAAGTGTTTCAATGCCCAGTTTCAGTAGTGAGGGAAAAAATTAAAGGAAACATAAATCTAGTTAATTATGTGAGACACCCAGAGCACTGTTACTGTTTGCTATTATTCCACTACAAGATAAGGCACTTGCTCCAGAATGAAAATCTACACATCAAGGAAATTTTGCTATTAAAAAACTGTCAGTTGAACTAAACAATGTATTTAATAGTGTAATTGACTTACATCTTGGTGCAAACTCATTTTCTCACTATGGACTGGTAACAAAAAATTCATAGACCAGTGCCAGTCTGGGGACCATATTTTGAATAGCACTGATGTAAAGGATCCCAGAATTTTATAAGGTCTGCCTTCAATACGATGGCATAAACGGAGGGGTCGCCTCCTTCTGGCCATTTTGCTGTTCAAAGATCCTCTTATTTCCTTGAAATAAAGGCAGCAATAATTTCCCCATTCTAACAATCTAACTAAACCTAAAAACCTATCAAAACAATAGTTGCCCCAATTTTAGAAAGAAGAGGATGTGTGCTTACTCTTCTTGGCGTAAGTCATTGACGCTGCGGTCCAGTGAGATCATGTCACTTGCCACCATGTTAAATCCAAACTCTTTAATGCTGGCTTGAACTGCATGTTTGAATTCTGGTCCCAAAACCAATGGCTTGGCTTTCTCTCCAGGGCCACCAACCACTCCAGGAGGCTCAGGTTCTTTGGGTTCAAAGTTACCAAGGATCCCTGGGCGAAGTACAGGATCACGGTAGGTGAATGTTTGAGGCTTAAATGTGAGATACTGCCTCTGCATGATATCTTTCTGGGAATCTCCTCCAGCATGGTGCTCTTGTTCATTTTTGGCCTTGTTTTTTCTTCTAATAGACTCTAAGTCCACTTCTACTCCTTCAACATGAGGCCATGGTACCACAGGTTTGAATCTGTCCTCCCCAGGAGCTAGTCCATTGCCTCCTCGGTTGGGCATGGGGTCATTGACATCTCTGTCTTCCTATACAAAAGGGAGGGGACATACAATGAGAACATGAAGGCAAACCACCACAGTAGAGTTCATGAGACCAATTTTCAGGTTTAAAAAAAGGGGAAGCAACAATAAAACAGTTTAGGATGTGGAATATAAGCAGTGTTGTTTTCAGGACTTCCCATCAGAAGATATCTTTCAGGGTAGAGAGGAAATAACAAGAAATAGTCTATCTCCTCACCTTACTGCTGCAAAATTAATGAAGGGATGCATTTTTGCTTCTGCCTTTGCAAACCTACCTCTCTATCAAAGACCTCTTCATAAAGCATATTTTTAAGGGTTAGAGCAAAGAAGTTCTAGAATCTTTGATTAAAACAGATGCTTAATAAGTCATGTTTGTACAGTATGTGGTTTTCCCAGTTGTCCCATGTGTGATAAATATAACCTTTTGTCAGTAGCACAACCATATGGTGGCAGTGGTATTAGATGTATGTCACTGTCAGCAGGCTGGCTCAGTGCCCCAAATGGCAGAGGAACAAGACGGGGATATGCAGAGTCCAAATTTGGTATTTTTCACCCACAGAGTTTATCTGAATTCAGAAGTATAAAAAAAGCTAATATCTGTAACTTAGTCAGCTTGGGCTTTTTAACCACTTCCTTATACCTAGTCTGCCCCATTTTAAAAGCAGCATGGGTCAAAACATTCTTTGTACAAGGATATTGATTCCTAGGTAAAGGGTGCCTCTCTTTTCTGTTTGGATTGTCTTCATCACCTATGCAGATCTTTCCCAAAGATATCCTCAGTACTTTTGCTTCTGAGGTATTTTACGTTAGGTTTTTTCCTAAGCCAGTACCATTCTCTGCACAAGGCACTGTTTCTCAACATTGGCATCACCTTGATGGCTTTAAAAAATGCCAATGTCTGTGTCTTACCCTCAGACATTGTGATTTAATTGGTCTAAGTATTTGGATTTTTAAAAGCATCCCTGGTGATTTTAATATACATCTAAGCTTGAGAGTCACTGGCTTAATGGGAGGGCTGCTTGTTATAATTAGACAAGAGGATTACAGAGGACACAGCTGGGGAAGAGGCAAGGTACACACAGAACAACTGCAAAATAGGCTGATGGGCCTGCGACTTCCTTCTACATTAAGACTGTGTGATTCCCCAACAGATTAGCCATAGCATTAGCACCACCCAACCAAAATCTTTCTATACGGTTAGAGCTACCTTGAAAAGTAAAGTTTAACAGTTTGTCTTAAAAAATATAAAAGTAAGGCTTTAAGTATGATGTGGATGTGTCCTCTATTAGCAGTTTATTTAGAGGCAAAAATCTTTCCAGAAAGTCAGTTATTTCAGATGTGAAGTTAGTAGGTAAGGGCTGGCTAAGAATTGACTTTCAAGAGTTCAAAAATGATTTTTTTAAAATTTTCCGTTTGTTTAGGTAATATAGACATATGATACAAAAATTCAAAATATCCAAAAGGGCATGTAGTGAAAAGCAAGCTTTCCTGCTTTTCCTTCTGCAGAGGCAATTACAGCTATCAACTTATTGTGAATTTTTCTAGAGGTGTGATATGCAGGTATAAACGTACATGTGTATACTTAACAAGATAATTTTTTTAAAGACGGGGCACAGATTTTAACTAACTCATTAAAAAAGGAACCTGTAAGATCTTACAACTGGTTCAAAGATAAATCTAAAGGACAAACATAAACATCAAGAACATGGCAAAGAATTTGCACATAGATTCAAATCTGGTTAAATTGGTCACTCTGCATAGGGCAATAATCAATTGCATTCCACAAGAACAATGTCCATTTCAATGGACAAGAGTCCTTTGCATCACTCTCAGTTTTCTGTAATTTACAGGACTGTAAAATAGTAAAGGTGAGATAAGCTGGAAAGTTGAGTTAGACAGTCATCTTTTGGGACCATTTCAAAGTTTTTCACAAGTTCCCCCCGAAATAGAAAAGGCAACACAGCCTGATTGTATAAATGTGATGCCTTTCCTCAGGCATGTGTGGTTCAGGGTTGAGAAAGCCTCTGGATCAGCCTTCTGATTGTCATACCTCAGGGACTTAGCTTGAGCCTAACCTGTGAGCCCTACTAAGGATCAGAGTAAGTGAGTAGAAGGCTGTTTGGCTGGAAATCATATTCAGGAAGGACTGAAGATTCTTTTGGGAATTAACTAGTTCTAAGAAATGTGTAAGGCAAGCATGACTGTAACAGAGAAGGGGTGATTCTGATGATGGAAAACGTGTTTGTTTCTCCAATTTATCTTCTGGCTCTTTCCAAATTTATACTTACTTATGTTAGTATAGTAAGTAAATTAATATAGAGATATCATTATAAAATGTGTAACAAACTGGTCCCAAGTTGTTGAGGCTGAAGTAAAACACAAAAAGGAGAAAGATATTGTCCTCCACTTCAATTTTTCATATCACAGCCTCAAGTGAATTGGTAAACAGGGACGTAAGAAAATTTTATTAAATACAGAAGAGTAGTTTGAACAGCTCATACAACAGCAGCATCCATACCCATAGCATCCACTAAATTACCCAATGTTCTATAGACAGGAAACTGTGTATTGGCAGAATATAGAATATGACAGTACAGGAAATCAAATTGTGAAATACACACTATAGTTTAGGTTGCCCTATGCTAATACCAAAATTGCCAGTTTAAATATTTTTCAAATTCACCCATTTTAACAAGAGAAATTTTAATGGATTCAAAAATCCATTTTAGTTTTCCTCTAAAAGTTGTTTTGGTCTTTTTTTTTTTTTTTTAACTTAATGATTCTTTGTCTAATCGTTTAACTGTTGGTGTTCTTTAGGATTCTGTTATTAGTCTATTTGTCATTCCATCCTCATTCTGGGTTATTTCATTCTCTTCCAAGCTCAATGATCAGTTTTACAGTGAGTATTGGAGCATCCATTTTGCCAGCCCCTATCACCTTTCTGATCTCTAAACCTCACAAGCAACTGCTTCCTGAACATTGCTATTCATATCTCTCTAACTTTAACATAGCGAAAATTGAACCTGTCATTCACCTCACATCACAAGCCTGTTTCACTTACTGTCTTTACTTCAGGGACTGAAACCACCATTCACTCAACTGATGAAATCCAAAACCTGCAATTCATCCTCAACTTCTTATTCTCTTTTATCTACCCTTCCGACATCCAATTAATTGTAAATTCCTGTCAATTCTATCACCTGTGTAGAGCCTCAATCTGGCCACTTATATCTATCATCCTCACTGCCACTGCCTTAATTTAGGTACCCTCACCTCCAAACAAGATTACAATAGGAATAACAGTGATGATGGTAAACACTGTGCCCTAAGAGCTTCACATATATTAACTTATTCAATTCCATGAGTTAGGTACTATGATTGCCATATTTTACACACAGGATGCCTGACAGGGAAGTTACCCGAGATTAGTATCAGTATCTAGTAGAGTCAACATTTCAATCCAAATTATCTGGCTCAAGAGTCCATACTCTTAATCATCATGACCTACTGCTTCTCACCCTGAGACATGCAATTCCTACACAGCAGCCATAAGGACTTTTCTAAAATTCATATATCAACATGTTTCTTTCCCTACTTAAAATATTCCAGCAGTAGCCCGCTGTCCTCTGGAGAATAGACACTCCTCAAGAGGGATAGCAAGGCTTTTCCGGCTTTAGACTGCATTTATGAAATGTCTCCATCACTATCCATGAGACAGGAGTCAGCTAACTTTTTCTTCATAGAGTTAAGTAGTAAACATGTTTGGCTTTGCAGACCACAGGGTCTCTGTGGTAATTACTCAAGTCTGCCTCTGCAGTGCAAGAGCAGCCATAGACAATATGTAAAGGAATGGGTATGGCTGTGTTCCAGTAATCTGTGTTTACAAAGACAAGTGTTGGGCTGGATTTGGCTCCCCCAGTCCCTGCACTAGACTGTAAGTTCTGTGAAAGTGCGGAGGTTTTCTCCATTGTACGCATCACTGCATGTCCAACACTTATACTGGCACACAATTCCTCAATAAATACTCACAAAATAAATGAATGAATCCTAAAATTTCTGCTTTGGTGGCAAGACAGAGTCTGAGAAGAAAAGGGGAGATAAAAAATGGAAAATATAAAATGGGAGAGCCAGGCTTATATCAGAAAGATCCTTACAGGCAATACCTTATGAATTCACCAAGAACATAGCTCTATATTCCCTACACGGCACTGTACTTTTCATAATGCTATATAGTAGCACCAGAAAAATTGAATTTGCTTACTTCTCAAAGGCTGCATGTCATTAAATCTGAAGGCAAAACCAAATACAAGAATTGTCTGTCTAACCCCAAGTCAACGAAGAATATTCACATCAAATCTTAACATTATATGATTCAAACAATGGCTATAAAGTGGTGTAATAGTTAACTTCCCTGAGGAGAAAAACTACATACTCCTCCTTTCTGAGAGTGAATGAGAATCAGTAGATGCCTCTGTGACTCACTGGTACTATGGTACCTTCGTAAACACCAGCTGATCCACTCTACAGCCCAAACCAATGAATCACCGTTGAATAGAAATGGAAAAGAGGATGAGTAGATAATTTTCCAAGATCAATATGTTCATCAAGATGGAAATGGACTGAATAATATAGTCACTTATCACCAGATGGCAATATGGATTACCGGAAATAAAGTCAGGCTAGTCACCATCCACCTTACAACTTACAAAGTGCCCCTTCTTATCCCCAAATCCTACTTATATGTAATATTTTTGCAAGATGGTCATACCTTGGTAGAGATCCACAGGGATTTAGCAAAAATGGTCTTTAGAGCAAATGACAGTAACATAGGTTTGTTTGGATTTGAAATCACAGGCGAAGCCTAGAAAACTAAGCTTTTAAACATGAGCTCATGTAGTCACATGGTCTCTTGAGAAAAGACAACTTAGCTTTAGGAAAGGGTCACTGTGTAAACAATATGCACACTATTTGGTTATCATTCTTCATGAGCCACAGAATTTAAAGGC